CCCCAGCCCGGTTTAACTCACCCCTGGCATGGTACCCGCCCTGAGCCACCCTCGGCCTCCCAAAACCAGCCTGCTCAGCACCCTACACCCTGGGGACAGAGGTCCAGCCCCAAACCCATCCCATAGCCTCCTCCCGGCCCCGGCCTTTGCATTAAATAACCCCCACGTGCTTCAGAGACCCCCAGAAAACCCACCCCAAAATGCCACAGCAAATCGGCAAAGGGCCCGGGGAGCTGCCGGGGCTGTCAGCGGAGGGGAGGGCGCGGTGAACCCGACGCGATTCCCCACCCCAAATCTCTGCAGGGAGCTGGCTGCAGAAATACCTGGGTTTTCGGACCGAGGGGGAGAGCGGGTGCTGCTCCACACAGCCATTTTGGGGAGATGGCTGATGTCTTTTTTTTGCAGCCCCGGCTTTGAAGCCCACGGCGCAGCTGCTTTGTACGGGCTTTTCTGGGGGGGAGGCTCCAGCGCCGGAGCAAGTGCTGACACGAGAGGCAACCCCAGGGATGCTCAAGAGACGGGTCAGCGAGAATATGGAAAAAAAAAAAAGAAAAAAGAAGGAGGGGGGGGGGGGGGGATGAAAACCTTTGCAGAATTTCCACCCCCTTCCAGCCTCGCACCGGTCCCCTGGGCCTGGCCAAGCTGGAGAAATGGTGCGAAACCCCATGGAATTGGGGCTAAACCCCTGGGAATTGGGCTAGGAAGAGCCCTGGGAATATCACAGCTTCCCCAGCCAAGCGGGAGTCACCGCGGGAGGGACACGCAGCACCTTGAGTTTCACCCCGATTTTTGGGAAGCGGGGAGAGATCACTTGGGGACAAGGGCGGCTCTCCCTGGGGACCAGGGACCCTTTCTGGCAGCCAAGCCGGGATCTTCGAAGCAGGGATTTGGGATTGAGGGGCGGAGGGGAGGTCCCTTTGGGTGGCCCTGAGGCCAGGGGACAAGTGGCAGCTCACCTTCTTGTGCTGCATTGGGCAGCACCAGGCGGACGTCGAGGGAAGGGGGAGAGGCGCAGCTGCCGAGCGTCGCCCTTAGAGGCACAATTTTATCCCGGAGACACCATCAATATTAAACAAATCCAAGATTTACAAACAAAAAACACAGCTAGGTGTTAAAAAAACCCAAACAAACCCAGTGACACCAGCGCCCCAGCCCCGCTCTTGCCGTTAAAGCCCCGGCTCAGTTTGTCCCCGTGCCTGACGGGGGCTCGGGATGTCCCAAAACACCGTCCTCATCCTCCCCCCGGCCTCCCTCGCCTCACTGCCGCTGCAAACCCGCTCCCGTCAACGCATCGATTTTTGGAGAGGAAAAAAAAAACACTACAAAAAAAAGAAAAAAAGCTATCCGCAGTCTAATAAAGGCAGCGAAAAATGAGAGCCAGCCTGCGGGTGAGTGAGGATGAGGAGGGGGCTGCCCATCCTCGGCCATCTCCAGGGGGTGGGAAGGTTTGGGTCCCCCTCGAGAGCCGCGCGTGGATGTCACCAGCTCCCGCCTGCGTCCCCTTTTCCTCCCTCCCTCCCTTTTCAAGCGGGAGCTCCGAGGGCAGCTGGAGGGGAGGCACGGGCTACCGGAAAGCTCAAACACACCCTCTGCTGCTTGCAAAAAACGGGGCTTGAGCCGACCTCGCGGCACCCAGACGCGGTCCCCGGCACCACGGGCTCCCGGGGTCCCGCCTGCGGCCTCTGAAAGCGGCACCACGGCCCCGCAGAGACGCTCAAGGGCAAAAGCTGCCCGAGAAATCCCGCCCACCGCGGCTCCGTCGCGGTGCTAGAGGACCGCGATCACGCTGGCAGGGCGATTCCTTCCTTCGCATCCCAAATTCGGACCCTGCGGGACGAGCCGCCTCCGTTCGCGAAGGGCCCAGCGTGGCGGAGGGCCCTGCCGGTCCCGTTTTAAGCCTCGAGATGGCTTAAAAGCATCACTGGGTCTGTTTAATTTGCAAAGCGGAGAGAAGCTGAGGTTCGCCTGCCCCCTGCTTTTAGAAAACAATTTAGCATTTTCTAAGCCGGGGGTTCAGGGTTTCCCCTGCGGCCCCTCCATCGCCGCGTGTAACCCAGCACACAAACCCCGGCTTTCAAGGGGTGAAGAGAAGGATCCGGCCCCCCGCACCCCTCTGCGCCCTCGTCCCTCCTTCCTTCTCCCATTTCCCAGCCCAGGTCCCGCATCCGGCACGCTCACCTCTACACCTCCCCGCGGCACCACGCGCTCTCTCCTGCCGCCGACCCCCCAGACCCCCCCCGGGTTATTCCTGCTGCAACAGGGGGGGGACACAGAGAAACGAAGCGACAAACCCACGACTGCTTTCCGGATGCGCATCAGATGGGAAACGGGGCTGCGCGGAGGCTGAACAGCGCTCGGCCCCGCTCCCTCCTGGATCCGCGCTTGGCCCCGCCTAACGCGGGGGCTGCTGTCCCGCTTTCCGACCTATTTTCCCGTCATCACCTCCAACCCAAACCTGTCCCTTGCAGGACCAGAAGACCCTTTGCGGGGCGTCCCCCACCCTGGCCCCAAAGGCAGGGCTTTGAGAGCAACAGCCCTTTCCTCCACGCGGCTGGGAGCAGGCTGGGGAGCAGGACCTGCTGCAGGGCAGAGGGATGGGGCATCCCCCCGCAGCGAGCGCGGCCGACCGGGGAGGGCATCCATCTCCCGTCCCCACCACGAAGTCCCAACTGTACCAGGGTACAAAGGCCGAGCCCGGTTCAGCTCCGGGGCCGCGCACAGCCCCAGCTGCCGCCCCCGCCACCAATTAGCACCGACAGAGACTCCCCGGTGCCATCCCATCTGCCGGGAAGCGGAGCAGTGCGTCTGGCTGCTAACGAAGCAGCCTGGGACGCGGAGCCCCCGGGGTCGAGCCCAGCTCCGGTGGGAATAAGGCATCCGAGTTTCAGCAGCATAACCTGCAGGTGCAAGACGGTTTGGGCTGGGCAGGGAAGAGGCAGTTGTAGGGACACACCAAGCAGGGGCACATCTCCTAAACCCTCTTTTCTCCGGGGGCTTCAGCAATCCCGGGAGCTGGCAGATCTGGGAAAAGCTGGAGCTTTTCCTAGGCGAGCCCATCTCCAGCGCCGGGCCAGGAGGCGCTGGCAGGTGTTTAGCGCACAAGGTGCGCAACCCAAGGGTGAGACACGGCTGGAGATGGGAACATCTGGAAACGCTTCGCCGAGAGCAGCACGACCTGGAAATCGGCGCTCCTTTCCATGGCACGTCCAGCTGCTGACCTGCAAAAGCCCCTTTACCCCAGCTCAGACAGACCCCCCACGTTCCCCCATCCCTGCGGTACCTGAACATCCCAGGGCTGATCCTGCTTCTCTCCCACCGAGGCGGGGCTGCGCCGGTCTCCCGAAGACCCAGGGACGCCAAGTGATCCAGGCAAGGCCACCGAGAAGGGCAGCGACGGACCAGCACGCGCCTCCGGCAGCGATTCCTGGGGTCTTCACGCTGTCGGCGGGAGCAGCTGATGGCAGCCAGGCCCCTCGCTAGGAGGCTAAACGAAGGAGCAATTAAACAGGTTAAGAAGAAATTTGGAAGCACAAACCAACAGAAACCACCGTCCACAAAACCACCTGGCTTGGTTTCCGCTCCGCTCAGGTCTTCGCCCACAGGAGAGGGGCTTCCTGGGGTCTTTCGGTGCTGACTGGGACCGACGCTGTGCAGGACCAGGGGGACAAGAAACGCCGAGAAACAGAAATTAGGGTTGACCCACTCCACTCCCAACTCAAATACAGACTTGTGTGACACCCCTCTCCCAGCAGCAAGAGCTGCCGAAGCCTCAAACACTGGCCGAAGCCCAGGACGACTCGAAACCCCCTCCGAAACGAGGATTAACGCGGTGGGACCTGCAGTAAGGACCAGGCACAGGTGGTTAACGTCCAAGCGTGCCCACAAAACAGCCTTGTAAGATTAGTGCCCGAATGTCACAGCGAAGAAATCAGCTGGAGCCCGCTTTTGACCCTCGCTGCGATCAAAAACCACTTATCTGGAAATGAAGCAGCTGCATCGCGGGCTGCTACGCCTCGGCAAATGTCAGGATCAAGCCTCAAATTTCCACCCATCCCCTCTTCCCGAGCTCGGATAAACGTGGGAAAGGTCAGCGCTAAGTCCACCGCCAGCCCCGGGAGCACAGACAGGCGCCACTTTCCCCCTCCAACACCCTGCATCCGAGGACGCGCAGCACCGTGGATGGACCGATTGGCTGTGCGGGGGGGAAACAGAGCGATTTCACAGCGCTTTAATTAGCAGTAACTTTAATCAAGCCTTTAACACAGTCCTCGTTCCAGACGCGCTCTCCGGGCGGCCGACAGCGAGCACTCAAACTGGCTTTTAATTTATACCCAAAACCTCGGAAACAGGTGGCAAGCCTGGAAGATTCGACTCAGAAACAGCGCCGGCGGAGAGCCTCCTCCCTCCCAACCCAGCAGGGCAGAGCCAGGGGGCAGCAGGAGCACCCCCCAGCTGCCTCCTTCAGCCCTGCCCTACTCCTCATCCTCCAGGGAACGGCAGAGCTGCTCATGGCATTGCAATTCAGCTGGCGTTTTAACTCCCGACGCGCCTGAGCCAGGCGTTCCTGGCCTCAGTCCGGGCAATCGGTTACGTTCAGCCGCTACAAGAGGATCCCAAATACTTTATAAAAAGCCGCGTTCGACTTCGGCGCGCGCTCAGACCAGGGTGGGGAAGGGAAAGGTGGTTAAGGAAGGTGGGGAAAAAATAAAAAAAAACAGGTCCTTTTGCAAATTGATGAAAAACCCAGCCCAGCAAGCCCGGAAACCCCCAGCTCCGGCAACGACAGAGCGGCAGAGGAGGAGGCTGAGCACCGAGCGCTACGGCAGCGCAGATGGGAGAGGCTATTTTGAGGTCCGGGTGTTTGCAGCTGCTTTCCTGACTGCGGGAGCGTTGGCAGCGTCTGCTGCAGCCACGTCGCAGGTAGCACGGTGAGAAGCAGCCTGCCCACCTCCCATTTATCTTCCTTTCAGGGCTGGTACATGCCCAGCATGGAAAAAGGTGCTGCTGCATCAGGTAGAGCCCTCTCACGCTCTAGTTTGCTGAGGATTTGGGCGCTGGAAGCAAAGCCGACACTGTGCAGCAAGGGGACGGCGTCGGCTGCTGCAGCAGCTCTGCAGAGACTGCTAGGAGGATGCTGCGGCTCCTCCAGCCCGGCAAAGTCAGGGCTGACCCCACCAGCGGAGCAGACAAAGAAGCCATCAGCCGAACGCCAGCATGAGGCACCCTCTAATCCGAGCCAGACGCTCCCCGTCTGACCTTACAGCTAATAAAATCCAGCAAGGTTGGGAGCAGAGAGCTTGACCTGCTGCAGCCATGAGCTAGCGGCCAGGACCAGCACCCTGCACCCGAGCTGATGGGTGCCCCCAGACCACGCCTTGCCCAGAGAAAGCCCCTTCCCTCCAGTTTAATCCAGAGGGAGCCCCTTCCCTCCAGTTTAATCCCGAGAGCCCCTTCCCTCCAGTTTAATCCTGAGAGAGCCCCTTCCCTCCAGTTTAATCCAGCCCCCCTTTATAGGTGGGAAGTTGGGATACCAGTAGTTGAGGCGACAGCCCCAAGGCGACGTACAACAGCAGCATTAAGGTAATTCAACAGCAACGGGGAGCAGTAAGGAGGAATTGAGACCACCACCACGCTTCAGTGCCACCCCGGAGGCAACACCCGCTTATATTAAGTTCAGCTCCTTCCAACAGATTAATCCTAAACCCACTTTTGAGAGGTGAACGTGTTGTTTTCAGGTGCATCCGCCCATTCCCTAAAGCCCTCGGGCAGCTCTCCGGGCGTGCTCCCACCCAGGAACAGGACCTGGAGGTGCCAGGTACAAGGAACAGAAGCTCCCCCCCCCCCGGTGAC